ATACTGATTCTATATTCATGCCTTATTACATATGGCACAGTAAATAGCAGGACCCCTATTTCTACTACGCCTGGCCCAATGTTAGGTAAGTAGCAAATACTTAAGGGCTTTCTTTCCGAAACATTATTTCAGATCCTTGAGAAAAAACAAACTATTGTTTTGGATATTTTGAATTCCTATTGCTCAATATTTGTGGAGATTCACTGTCATCCTGATCGTGGTTGTCCCAAAGGATGCTTTTTCAAAGGCAACTGGACTTTTGTTTTTCCCAAAACAAAGTCCAGTTGCCTTTTGAAAAAGCACCTTTGGGACTATTGCTCAGTATTTTTGTGATACTGGAGATAAAAGAGGTGCTTAAGCACGTTTACTTGGATCCCTTACACAGAGGCAACACCACTATAAGATAAAAGATCCAGAGAATATCAATACGGACACAGAGTGCAGTTAAGGATAGTTGGATGGCACCAGACACAAATGCTAAAGTCCTCAGACAGAATAATATTTAGGGATAAGAATGCTGAACCCCTGTGAGGTTTGGCAATTTTGTTAAGTTCAACTTCTTTAAAAGGTTTTTTTTTTTAAGGTATTGATGCCTCTTATTGAAAAGGCTGACTTCTAAATTACATTCTATCAGAGCAAACAAATTTCATGTTAACAGTGGCATCTACAGTGTTGCTATACTGAAGCAAAGATACATAAGAAAAAGCTCCCAATGACATAAATATTTTTCTAATTCTTTAGCTAAGTAGGAGCCTGGACTCACTTATGAGATGAGTACGAATATTAGGAAAAGATTACGGAAATGGGCACACACTTCTCACCCAACTGGCAACTAACATTACTATTTTTCATTCCCTGCTCAATACAACCTACAAAATATACTAGTAAACTCTGAGCACGATGAATAAAAGGGGATATTTGTTTTGTTTTATATAACTTATCTAATGCAACGTAAGTATAATTACTTAAGCACTGCTAAAACAATGTTAACAGATCTTTTGATGGATTTACCTAGTTTAGCTGTGAAAATTAACATTTTCAAAGGTGCTCATCAGTGCAAGCCGTCTATTCAATCAATTGGAAAATCACTGTTGACATCTTTGAGAGCAAAGTTAGCCAGTACTGACAGCTTTTGATAATATAACTCACAGCAATCAAAAAGTAGTAATATCACTTTTTGAAATGCTAGAGAAATATTTAAAAAGTCAGTTAAAAAAAAACACTACAGCTTTTCTCACTATTCCACTATTCTTCAAAGTGGGTCTCATTAAACACATTACTCCATGTGATTCTCTGTGCATAGAGGTACCTGAACAAACATCTTTCTAGTTAATTTCTGCAATGTAGCAAAAGCCCAACAGGGCACAGGACCTGTAGCTGAGGGTTTGGAAAGCGACAGCAAAGCAATCTCTCATTCATTAGATGCATAAGCAACTCTGAGCTAGTTGATTTTTCAAAATAAACTTTTCCATTCTTGGAAAAAGACATTAGTTAAGGAAAGCTGTTGGTATAATTATTCTATATGCTGCCTGGGCCTTTTGATTTGGGGATAGGATAAAGATCTAAAGAGATTTCCCTTTTGCATATCCGATAAAATCCATGGTGGGTATAAAGCAACTAACAGTGATTTTATATCATCCCTTAAAAGTAAATTTGAATATGCCAACTAATCACCTGTGTAACGGCACAGTACATTATTTGTTCTAAATATGGGTAAGTCATCTATTGCCCTCCAGATGTTTTGAACTACAATCTCCTTTGTCTTTTCCACTAGCCATGCAGGCTGGTCTGATGGGAGCTGAAGTCCCAGTCAGCTTGAGAACACTAGGCTGTCCATTTGTATTCTAGATAGACTAATGGTATTGAATAAATAATCTAAGTTTCAGTAAAATAATCCAGTATTTTATAGAAAGAATCATGTGATCAATAGAAATAATTGCTGGGATTCCTGAGAAATATTTTTAAAAACATTTTTTTTTAAAAAAAAACTCTCACCATATTAAAAAGAGTAATTTAGATTCCCACAAAACAGTGAATACAAAATAGGTAAAATCGGCCATATATGGGAACTGTAATATTTCTGTCACTACAGAAATATTACTTATGTGGCCTATACAGAGAATTTTTTAGACAATAACTGGTGGCAAACAGAGTAGTTGCTAGCTGAAAGTTTTAGAATCTGCTACTCTGATCCTTTGGACATACTTGTCCTTTTGTTAATAATAAAAATAGTTGGCATGTATCGCAGCACACATTTTTAAGGCACAATTGTTACCCTTGGAAAAAATTACAACTATAATAAAATCTGCCATAGGTGTAAGTTCAAGGACCAAAGAAAGTTATATTTAAAGAAGTTCATCAAGAAGACTCATCAACAGATACTTTACCATAATTCCATATAGATGGAATCCCAAATCACATTCATTAACCATGAAAGTCGCTGAAAACCTTTGAACTTTACTAGATAAAGCTTTTTTGCTCTCCCCCCCTCCCACCTCCACATACCCTTGTTGTGTAAGATTTACAGAGATATCCATGCAGGATTTAACCTTTTTTTAAAAAAAAAGAAGAAGAGGAAGAAGAAGAAGAAGAAGAAGAAGAAGAAGAAGAAGAAGAAGAAGAAGAAGAAGAAGAAGAAGAAGAAGAAGAAGAAGAAGAAGAAGAAGAAGAAGAAGAAGAAGAAGAAGAAGAAGAAGAAGAAGAAGAAGAAGAAGAAGAAGAAGAAGAAGAAGAAGAAGAAGAAGAAGAAGAAGAAGAAGAA